TTTACTCTGCTGTTACTGCAGCTGACAGAACATTGGTAATCTACTGGTATTTATTACAGAGAATATTCAATCAAGAACATCATTTCACTTTGATTTGGCCAAAAATTAAAGTGATTTCCTGCATTATGGGACAGTGTCAGACCTAAATGCACTTTAATACAAGATCATGTTTAAACATATAGAGTTTGAAGTTGAACAGGTTTCATGTGCAGCTGTCAGTTGGAAATAAGCGGCTGCACTGATTGGGGTACATAAACGTATTGTTTAACAGTTTTCTACCAGCATTCCTGTCTATCTGAGTGACTTTTACACGACTGGGTTCAAGTGTTTTTAAAGGACAAATAGGGAAAAAAACAAATACAAATTTTCTTTAGAACCTAGAATGAAGTAATAAATAAATAACAAAACAAGTACTTACAGAAAAGCGCTGTGACAAATGGGTGCATGAAAAGACACATACAAGTAAATAATAATGAATTCAAAGAGACTCTGTGAAGATAAAATGAAAAAGTGAGAAAGAACAAAACGAGTAACTCCTGTGTGAGGATGAGTCTGATCTGTCCAAAGTTTAGAGACGACATAATAAGACTGATTGTGTATGTACCGATATATTATGGGATGTCTGTCAGTGTGGTCCTGTGCAACAACTGAGGGCTCATTCACTCACCCGGCATCGATCCAGCTGGACTTTGAGTGGTTCTGGTTCCGATGCTGGAGGTGCCTGGACTTTGAGCCAGTTCTCACTGCTGTCCACAGCCTGTTCACACTGCTCATACAAGCTGTAGAAGGCCAACACCTGCAGCATGTGCGCACACACACACCCACACCCACACCCACACACATTTTGAATGAAGGTTAAAAAAAGAATCAATTCCCACAAAGACACAAGCAAACGCCCACACAACATCTGCCTGCATGGCGAGTCCAGAACGACCAGACCTTTCACACGGTGGTAATCATAGGGACAGTAGCAGCATTGCAGCTGTACATGGATAGCAGAGTTGTTATTTAAAGAGCCAAAGAAACAGGTTATATTTCTAGACACACATACTCCATAAGTCTTCTTAACTGCTGTGACATGAACATGGCACTAAAAAGGCAAAACACTGAGCAGGAGGAGAAGGAGGAGGACGAAACTAGCATAGATCCAACTAGATGTGTATTACTGAATGTTATCAGACTAGCCTTCACTCAGGTTTTTTGTTGTTGCGCTACGATAAGTACAGTGGATGGCAGGTGTGTCGCAGCATTTTAAATAATTCTAAAAGTTTTGTAGCACCTCATATATCGCTCTTTGTGAGTGATGTGTCTCCAGACGTCATTAGCTTGCATATTACTGATCTTTAGGGGACACTCTATGTGTGTGTACCTTTGTCTGGTAAGCCAGCCATGCCAGCCTGTCGGCCAACAGGGCACAGAATCCCACCCAGCGCTGGTTCAGCTGCTCTGCCGCCTGCGCAATGTCCTCAGCACGAGTCCCCTCTGCAGTGAGGGAGTAGATGGAGAGTTAGCAGGGGCCGACACACACACACACACACACAGTTTACACAGGACACTGGTGTCTCTATTGGGATGAATGTCGTCTGTAGGGGAGGAGACACCACACCTATCCGAAAGGGGACAACTGGATGATCATTGAAGCTGGATCACATGTTTCATTATGCATGCATGTAAATGGGCCCTTTTTCCTGTAATTGTACCTTTATTATGCTTCATTATGTCAAGCGTGTAGTTGGTGCTACTCCACTGCAGGTTCTCTCTTGTAACTTTGGTAAAGCACTGTTTTTGTTATTGTTTGTCCTGTGGTATCTTACCCACCAAGCATGTGACCTGTTCTTACAGATTCACATCAAATGGACTTGGCATAAGGAAGTATTAGGAGACTAAATAATACAATTTAAGCTTTTACATGGGGATGAAAATCCACATTATTGCCAGTCTGATCTTTCAGAGTGCCTTTAAAAACAAACAAACAAACAAACAAAGAGCTTGCTGCTTGTAATGACACCATGTTTGCAGTGTTTTATTGATGCACTTTTGACTGTGATTATTTGCACAGCAACAACAGACGGAGCTTCTTCTCTCTCCTTTACTTCCACACACAGTATTTTGGCGGATTTTGTTTGAAAAGTCTAAACTGCGTGTTTCTGCGTTTTCAGAAAGCCCAACAATTGCACAAGGACAGAGGAGAGGGCGGATGAGAAGAAGCATCCCTCTCTCTGCCTGTACCTCTCTCTATCAGTGTTTCTATGGAGACAAGGAGAGAGGGTGGGACAGGTGGAGGCGTTGCCATGGGGACAGACAGGGTGTGGGTGCGTGCATGTGTGTGTATGCATGTGAATGAGTGTGTGAGCGTCCACGTTACCCTGCTCAACCAGGGTCTGTGCTGTCCGTGTTGCCTCCTGAAGCTTCCGGTACTTCTCTGGCCGCTCGCGTTCTATCGCCTGAGACAGAGACGGAGATGTGAAGTTAACAGACAGGAGGCTGACATGGAGAAGCAGGAAGATCAAATAACAACAAACCGACAGCAGGACAATTATTTATCACTCAGAAAGAATCACCCCCTCCAAATAAAAAGCAACTTCACAGTGTGATATTAAAACCTAAAGTAACACGGCCACCCTCGTTTCACTCTCAGGACTCATCAGCTTCTGATCTTATTCTGCTGCCACATTCACAGAAAGAGAAAGAGAATGAGGTTTAAATTGTTTACACAAAATATAAATATGTAACTAAACATATAAGACAATAAAAGTGTAGGTGTACACGATCCCTTCGTTTCCATGTGCAACTGTAAATTAAAGCAACTTAGTTCCACACAGAAAAGAGACAGGAGCAGTGTCCAACGTACCAACCTTCAAATATCCTCAGAGTGCAGCACCACAAGCTACATACACTTTATGCAACTCACCAGTGGCCACTAGGGGTCACAATGCAGCATGTAACTTGGTTTTTCAGTATAATCCGTACGTTTATAGAGACAGTAAAAAGCAGAGTCAACAAAAGTAATGCCTTCAATGACATTTTTAATTATTTAAAAAAGAAAAGAAAAAGTTTTCACTTTTAGCATACAAAACTCCTTTTAGTTCCTGATACAGTGTGCTGGACAGTTCAGGGCGGTGAGGTTCATGGCTGGTAAGGCGCTGACTCCTTCACAGGCAGATTAACAAACACATGAACCCAAAAGAGAAGCTGGTTCGCTCTACAGCATGCTCACTGACTGCTGTTCCATAAGTCATCAGCATTCTTTACACACATAGGTAAGTACATATTTGGCTAAGAAAGACATCTACAGAGTGGACAGAGCGCATTTACCCTCCATGTGCTCTCAGTTTGCTGTTTCAATTCCACAAGTCATACTCATTCAATAGAAATGAAAGCGTAAAGTGGTGCAGAGAAAAAACAGATGTCAGTTTGGACCTTAATTGAAGTATTTAGTTGTCTTTAAAAGCTTTTTGTTCTGATATTTCAATCAATTTTAATTCACAAATAATAACAAGAAAAACAAGAGAATATTTTATTTAAGGTCAAATTTTAGTTTTTAAATATTGGATTGTTTTTTTCTTAGTCTGATCCCTTTTTTTAATATATATATGAAATTGTAAACCGTTTTTGGTCTTACCTTTATTTGTAAATAAAGTAAACCTTTCAGCTCTGGTGTTGCTCTTGTTATTTATCACTTCCTGTTTTGACTGAAAGCTTAGATATAGATAATCTTCCATTTTTGGAGTCAGTTGGAACAAAAAGTAAAAATGAACGAACTGCTGCAGTTTCCTGGACTGTGTGGTGTCACTAACTGATGGGCTCCCAGAGCCTCTGGTAGAAGACGAGCAGCAACCAGCACCTGCTGAGCCCACATCGGGCCTCAGTGCAGCGCGGTGCTGTCGGCCTCACCGTGGGCCTCTGCACTGGGTTTCATGTCCAATCAGCAAAGACTAAATATGTCACACACGTTCATTAGATATCAGCCAGACTGTGGACAGTCAGGGTGTAGAAGAGACGAGTCTGCAAACATGATATACATACAGTTTTACTTTTCATGATGACAGTTGAGGCTCTAATTAAAAGCATCACAAACTGCTAAATATCACATGAATGACTGGTGACCACATCCAGAAACATTTACACCAGTTTGTGTTGTGCCTAAAGTTTTAAACACAAGCTCTTTGTGAGACATGTCTAGAATTTTATTTTCAGAAATGTTTCTAATTCGTGATCAACAAATGAAGAGTTCATTTGCAAAAACAGATAACTCCATCTGCCCAAACCTTCAGAAAACCCACGTTTCCATCGTCTCCCTGAGACAGCATCAATCAAACTGAAGCTATCTCTATTTTGGTCATTTGCACTGAGTCGAATCCACTCAGCTTCAGTTTGATTGATATTATCTCAAGCAAACAAAGAAGAAAAAAAGTTTTCTGGAAATCTGAGTTATCCGTTTTTGCAAATGAACTCTTCAAATATCAATTATTTGCTGTTTTTAATTTAAAGTTGGAGCGAACCGCAGTCATTTGTGTCAATGACAATGTTATCTGACTGACGATGTTTGAATTTATTGTCATTCTTAATTCAGTCAGCGTCACTATTCTTAATTACTCTGACTTAACGCTGCTCAAACCCATATTTTATGTTTTAACAATAGATCAAATAAAACCTGTAATGTGAGAGGGACTGCTGATCATGAGGAGGTAGCAGACAACTGCTACCAACTTTACAGTTCCCCACCTTTCAATAGTAGTTTTTAGTAGCTTTTGGATAATTGTACTGGTTTTATAACGAACAACGTGATGTTTTAGTTCCTCTAATCAGCATTGTTTCCAGCAGCAGAAGCGACTGCTGTCAGCGTCAGAGCCACTTTCTGCTATCTGCTCAGCATGAACCAGCAGACAAGCACAATTAAACACTCGCTGGTAAACACAACGCAGCATTTAGAAGCTACAGAGACAGATCAGTGTCGCCGTGCTCTGCATCCCGGCTCAGACAGACAGAGCACCGGAGCTGCTGCTGCTCATGTGCTGCTCATATAAAACCATGACAACAAAACACTGTTTCAGTTGTAAGAAGTGAACGTTGTTGTTCTACCAGATTGTTGAAGTGTGTTTCACTGATGGCAGATTAGACAATACATTGGCAAAATCTCTTGCTGTCGCTATCAATAAAACAGATCTTTTACCTTTTAACCTAGCTCATGGCAGCTCAGAGATTAACACAGATTTTCCTTTTTTTGTGTGACACAATAAACATAAGTATTAAATCCTTGCATAATTGCCTCGCACTTTTATTGCAGTACCACTAATTTACATGAAAACCAATGTTTATATAACAGCACGCCGCTTTAAGGACATTTTACGAGTCATATCCACACACGTTAAGCTTTTCACCAAACATCTCGTCCCTATTGTGAAGAGATAACCGTGAATTACCAAAACATTCAGATCAGCATGTAGTCAGGGATGAATTTAGCTTCACTTTGGTTTGTTGTTGTTTTAAGTTGGCTTGCCAGCAAGTCAGTAGTTCTCTGTGTGGCTACAGTAAGCATTAGTTATATTGGTGGAGCAGATGTTTACCTGTTTTACTTCCCTCTTGACAATAAAAGCACTCTGACAAAAATCAGTCGATCACTTTGTCTTCCTTCGTTATGTATTGGAGAAAACACAACACGCCCCATTTTGCTTCACCAGGCTGAATTGGCAATCAATAAACGCAGACTTAAAGCGTGTGTTTTTTGTGCTCATTCACACGAATCAACCCTGATATGTTTCTGAGTAGTTGGTGGAAAGCAAAAATAAATGTAATAAATACTGGTTCACTTCTGGTTTCTGAGAAGTGCGAATAAACCTCCAGCAATTTAATTTATTTTTGGCTAAACTTGTAAATGAGCCTTGTTTAGATGTGGTCCCAAATGAACTGCGTGTCACACATGATCAGTTTAAAGACCGTTTGGAAAGTTGAAAATGTCCCGATTCTTTCCGTTGGTACAGTTTCTGACTCTGAAAAATGTTGGAAGTTTGGTGGTTTTATAAAAATAACTCACCTTTCAAACCCACAGGATGGTTTAGTGGGTTCAAAAATATTTAACGTGACAGGAAATGGTTACCTTAGCTTAGCATAGTGAGTAAAAATAGACACACAGTTAGACTTTAACCGTCCAAAGAGTGAGGCTGGCTGTTTCCTGTGTCTAGGTTCATATTTATCACTCAAACATGAGAGCCGTATTGATCTTCTCATCTATTTTGAAAATGCTCTGTTCTTTTCGGTCATTGGGGGATATTTCCTTTCTCGTCTATTTGTTTTTGTTCTGTAACAGGTTGTTTCCAAGTCTCATTACTTGCTGTGCGAAGTCATGCAACAGACAGACGGTTGTTTCTTTATTACTGTTTCAGAACCAACCTCAGCCCCAACCAGATCTGCACACTGCTGGATCTCTGCCTGGCCACCACCAGTTCAGTGTAATGAGGGTTTCTACAGAGAGAAGCCCGGCTGCTCCATGGGCCCTCCAGTGTCACCCACTGTGACCAACCTCTACATGGAGGAAGCAGAAAACAGAGCACTGAGCTGATTTAAGGGAACAACTCCGAGCCAAAGGTTCAGCTATGTGGATGACACCTGGGTTAAAACCAAAGCTCAAGAGGAGAGGCCTTCACAGAACACATCAGCTCTGTGGACAGCATCCTCAAGTTCACAAAGAAAGATAGAAATGACAGCCAGCAGCCTTTCTTGGACTGTGCTGTGCATGTTGAGGAGTATGGACGCCTCATTGTTGGAGTCTACAGGAAACCTACACTGCTGTTTGATTCACACCACCCACCCGAACATCAACTGGAGGTCACCAGAACCTTAAAGCACCGGGATGAAGGAACTGTGGCTACCCCTACTGGGCCTTCATCAGATCACATAAAACACACAGAAAACACAGCACCACAACAAACAGCAAAGAAAGGAAGGACAGGAGGAACAATGCTGTCATCCCACATGTAGCTGGAGTTTATGGAAAACATAACATAGCAGTGCACTTCAGACCCAGCAACACTCTTGAGACAAAAACCAGCTCAGCCCAAGGACAAAACACCAGCACATAATGGAGCAACGTGGAGCCCAATGCAGCGAAGAGTGCACAGACTTGTACATAAGGGAGACTGAACACCAGTTCCACAAGATCAACACAGCAGAGCTGCTCCTCAGGACAAGACTCAGCATCCACCTGCATCTAAAGGATCAGGGACACTCCTTAGAGGACAGCAACCTACACATTCTGGACAGAGAAGACGGATGTTTGAGAGCGGTGTGAAGGAAAAGCAACTGGAAAAGCCATCTTGAAACAGAGAGGGGGTCTGCAGCACCACTTATCAAGAACCAGTGATGAGGGCTCTCCCCAGAAAGTTTCACCATCATGAACATCTTGAGTCACCAGTGACATGGCAGATTCATGTGTAAACTGGCAGCTCCACCGTTATTACTGCTGCCGTTGGTGGACCACCTGGTTTCACAACAATCCACACCTTGAAGCGTGTGAGTCCTGGGTCATTAGTGGGTCATTAGTGGGTGAGCTGGAGTGACTATAAATCCTCTAACTCCCTAGTTAGAACTGAAGAATCCTCTTGGACGAAGGTAAAACGTCTTCAAGAACCTACAAGAGAAGTCCAGTTGCTTTGTACTGAAGCTCCTACGATAGCTGCTGCATGAAAGTTTGAACAGTCCACACTCCCGCTGCGTCTCATTACCACGGAGCCACATCAGCATTATCCTGCACCCATAATCACAACTCAGACAGGGCCCTCAGGTAGGACTCTTATATGGAAGCTCAAATTTATTTATGACCCAACTGTATGATGGAAACTTGTAATTTCAGCATCCAGTCTCTGAGCAGATTAAGCTCTGTGGGGTGTCTGTTTCTTTACCTGCACTTTGTCGTACAGCTCCTGGATGCTGCCATCCTTGCGTGACACAGAGAACTCTGGGCTCTGCAGAATGGCCTCACCGCGGGTCATGTAGCTGTGGACCTCTGTAAAGTCCACGTCGAACCTGGTGACACACACACACACACACACACACACACACACACTTTGCAATATTAACAGCACTAGATGATTTATTTTGCCCATTGCTGTTTCACCACTTTTCCTCGCAGTTATTCTAAACAGCAACCTGTTAAAGCCACAGTAACCAGACCTGCAACAGTTATCGATTATCGATTAGTTGTCAACTACTGAACTATCATCAAATATTTTGAGAAATGATTATTCAGAGTATTTTTAAAAGAAAAAAAGTTTACATTTTCCTATTCTATTTAAAAAATATGATTTCTTTTCGTTTCCTTCCTCCTTAATGAAAAATCTTTGGGTTGTGAAAAAAAACTAAGTATTTGAACCATTTAGGAAACACTGATACAGATTTTTACTATCTTCTGACATTTTATAGACCAAACAACTAATCAAATAATTTAGAAAAAATTGATTTATCTACAACGAAAATACTTGTTAGTTGCAGCCCCAGTCATAGCTGGGCTTTACCTCAGAGAGCTCCCCATATGAAACATCTGACCTCCATCCAGTCAGGTAGATTTGGCAATCTGCTTCATTACCTCATTAAGTTAAAGAAGAGAAGTCGTCCAACAATCGAGGTCTTGGACTGTCACAATTATTTTATTCAACTACCTAAACTTAACAAAAAAGGACATCGCACCCTAATTTGGAACCTTTGAATCTGGCTCTACACTAAAGGTCATGGACTGAATGTAATTACTAAAGACGAATGGAGCTGTAATGCTGCGAGAAGTTCTCACTTACTTTAGTGAAAGGAGTATTTGTGGGAGTGTGATTTAAAATTTGCAACCAAAAAACATCTGTTAGCAAGACCTGCATCACTGTCTGAAAGTCAAAACATCGGGATATAACAGTTCCTAAAACACAGCGACTGATGTGTACAGTGGACATGAGCCACAGAGACATGAGGTGTGACGACTAAGAGCAGCCATGTCCACAGCAATCAGCAACTCAAACGACTCAAGTGTGCCTAAAACAGGGACTGTCATCTAATAATGAAAATATCCCCGGCTATTTTTACATGACAGAAAAACAAGGTCTTCTTGGAAAGTGTGTGAAATTAGCTGTTTTTTTCTTTTTCTCCTGACGTTGAGGTTGCCACAGTCATTTCCTAATTCACTGGCCGTCTGACAGGGCTTCTCACTTTGCTGGTTTACCAAAGTTTCATGCACAAGGCCCAGCGTTCATAGAGCCTGACCAAACTAGGGGCTAAGCATCAGGACATTTTGGTCTTTGCTGCATTGTTTTCCATCATTCGTTGTGACTTCATTACAAGCAGCTGGTGGGAAAGTCAAACTTTGGGTTTTAAATATCAGTGCAGATTAAACAGCGAAGGTCTGGGATGTTACCTGAAACATTATCAAAACCAACATGACTTCCTACTTTCAGTCCCATTTGGTTGTACCTCCCTCCCATCAACTACAGACTAAAACTGGATGCTACAGATGCAGCAGTCTGGTAAACTGGTTTTACTTCCCCCCCTTACTGATATATATATACACACATAAACATGACATTACAGCAGTGCACATATTTAAATAGGCCAGGTCGAGGCAGCAGTCAAAGCGGAAATTCCAATGGATGAAAAAGTAGACTACTTCCTTATAAAAAGTGGATTAGCAGTAGAACGGTACAACACAAATCCTAACTATCATACCAGTAAAGTAGGAGTACCTCAGCTGTTTACAGACGCACAGGGCTTGGGTAAACGTATCTACAACTACACAACAGACCCATTTCTAAGACTTCCTGCTTCTCTACTTCCTGCAAGGTACAAGAGGATTTTCAGAATCTCTTACTTCACTACTAAAAAAAAGTTCAGTTTCAAGCCAGCCTGTGCTACTACCAGTACTGGTACTACCAGTATCTGCAATCTGTCATCACCTACCTGCAGAGATAGGACAGCAGAAAGGGATGCATGCAACTGAACATTTCACATATGTTAGAAAACATCCTGTAACTACTAATACTGCTCTCACTAGATGTTTTATCAACACACACCCACCTTTTCCTGAGCTCAGAATCCACAACCACCTGCCTCTTCTTCTGTGGTGGCGGCGACTCTCGGGTTTGGCGCACAGCCGCCACTTTCTCCCTGGTCGTCACCTTGGTAACAGTTGCTGTGACGGAGTGGGTCATCTCGGACTGCTGGGCTGTACTGACAGACGATGACAGCTGAATGCGAAAGAGAAAAAAAAAAGAGAACACATTTAAACAAACTGCAAACAACAGCAGGTGCCGTGTCAGTTTACAAGGATCTGTCAACATTATACGGATCCCAAATCACCACTTAACACACTCTGACATCTGCGCGCACACACACATGCAGAGTGTAACGGTGTCCTTGAGAGGAGATGAGTCAAGGATGAGTTTCATGAATCATACATTATCACATCTACAGTGTCAGGCAGGGTGTGTGTGGACTTTAACATCTATGGATGTAGATATAAGAGTAGGTGAGTGGGTACTTAGACAGCTGGGAGACTGATCGGACAGTGTGATAGAGTTAGAGTGTGTTCATGTGTGTGTTGCGCGTTCATAGCAAGGCGTGTGCTGATTCTGATACTGAGCATTATTCACTGTTGTCGTGTGAATACAACCACTAGAACATACTTGCTGCCATGGAAACGTGTGCTTAAGTCTGCAGAGGTCAATCTGACAGATTATAACCGACAAGTGTTTAAGAGAGCGAGGAAAGTGGAGAGATGTATGCAACTAGTGTGACCAGCAACTTCACGATGGATTTTGTTATCCACTGCTGGATGAACCTATCTGAGTGTGTGTTTGCTTACAGCACTGGGCTATCAAAATATATTGTTGTAAATTTCCTACCGGCAGCAAATAGTGGATATAGATCAGGAGTGTGTTTCTCAGTACTGTCTGTCTGTGGCTCATATATAGAAATGTTTTAATGACAACAAGGTGAACATTTTGGAGCGACTGCGTCAGTGATCACACCTCAATCCAACTGAGAATCTGTGGCTGGACTGTCCATACACAAATCCAATGCATCACAGCTAAGAATAGGGTCAAACTGCAGTTTGACTTTCTCACATGAAAAAATCTTTTTTGTAAATTCTTATCAAAAAAAAAAGCCAAACTACATTGACCATAACTCATTGTTGACAGGGAAAATTTCCAAGGGTGGAGATGACTTTTATAGGCACGACTGACTTAATCAGTCAACTTGTTTGACTTGGCCATAACTAACATTAATTCATAC